TGACGCAGAGAGCTCTCTTGAAAACGACTTTTCAATATCTTGTTTAAACTGAAAACTAGATTCCATTTAGTTTAAAAATAATTACTAAACTTCATTCTTCTGGGTCGATTGCTAAGAATTTCCATCGAAATCGAACCATTCTTTTTACACTTAAAATGAAAAGGATCTCAAGGCTTGAGTGTAACTTAACCGTGTGTAAAAGCGTTGTGTGACATTTGGCGTTACATGACCATACTGGCGCAACTGTGTGTGGCCGTGGTAACACTGAGGTAAATAAATCAGATTTCGTTTGCTTAACTATTCTAAGAGAGATTAAAATACATTACGATAGAGGCCATGCCACCAGATCAGATATGAAACAAGATAAGACGCGAAGACGGATTGTTACTCTCAGGTAAATCTAAAGAAATTAACTCCGTTCAGCGCCAGTTGTGCATAACCATCAACAATGTAACCATCTTTTCATAACCCAAATATTTTAGAAACTGTTTGCTCAACCGAACATTTTAAAAATAACACTTAAACAGTCATAGTTTTATGAATGGATTGAGACGCTCCGAGCAAAGTGGACCCGGTTGACAAACAACAAAATTTAGTTTGAAGCAGTGAAACATTTTATACGGATTAGTTAGGGGGTGTTTTGATCGTGTTCACAGTTTGAGAAAACAATCCGAATCTTAGCTCGCCCTCAAAAATACGTCATGTTGCATTTGCTGTGTCTTTAATTCAGGTCTATCGAACTACAGAGCAAAGTCACAACAAACCTGCTTCCAAGACTTATAAAATAAAGGGAAACACACACCCACACTCACCTAAAATTACAAGGGTGGGGAGGGACCGTTGAGGGTATGCACCTTAGAAGATAATTTCTCGTCAATGTTGCTCATTCAGAGACTCTTTACAAGTCTCTGAACTGTGAGAAAATAAAGCTAGTGAGCGATTTCCCCGGGCAGAGGCAACGCTTCGTTAATGGTAGGTCCATAAGCTGCGTAAGTAAATACCTGGCATTATCTCGACGTACACTTGCGTAACTCACCTTTTGTTCTCGGTTTCCCGGAGAGAGTGATGGCCAGAATCATTGCAACTCCAACGAGCACACTTACAACAATAAGTGGTATACCGAACTTAAAAACTTGCGAGTTGGTACGCATTTTTGTGAAGTAAACTGAAGAACGTTTCGAACGACTGATCGAACAAAGAAGAACAAACTTAATGACAGCAATCGGACGTTTCGAAAGAAAACTGCCCGTCAAATGAAACAAGATACTGCCGTGTGGCGTCTCTGCTGTGGTGTCTAGCAGTTGTCTCGAATCGGGTCACGCAATAACCCTTGTAATCAACTTTCTCACATCTAGAATTAAACTTTGAGTCAATTCTTGGAAAGAAAACACAGTCAAATGACAAAAAAAATCTTAAATTTTTTTTAAGCTGAGGTCGTAATATTCTCGATTTTACTTTAGACGAACATTTTCTAAGAAATTGTCGTAGAAGTATGCATGCATACTCAAAGCCACCTGTTCCTTGTTAAAATGTTCACTTTCTTACTCTCTGAATTTCCTTCTACTATAAATTTTCAGTCTCACACATGTACTGTACTTCTTGCCTTGCCTTTTTTAATACCATGGCGGACGCAAAATTGCAATGCACGAATTTGCAAATTTTCAGCGACAAGACTCCTATCGTAAAAGCGTGACAACCTTCAAATTGGGTGTCCACCGTTATATGAAACGTTATTAAAAAATTAACAAGACAAGTCTCAGTATTGAAAGAAAAGAACTAACACAGAATATAAAGTGGAAACAACCTTACTATATTTTCAAAGCTTACCTCTGGCTTCTTTACTGTCTTGATTTCTCGTCACTGCGATTGCGACGATAACAAACAAAGCTAGGAACGATGACAGGCATACTGCAAGAATAATTTTCCAGCTACGTTTAAACCGCATTTTCAGACAGTTTTCCGAACTTTTATCCGCCGATTCCGCCATGACAGTGAAACAACTTGATACGCAAATGTAGCTTGACCAGCGCCTGTCGCAGATTCCTTCCGGTACCCCACTGACAGAATTGCCAAAAATTTCTGATTTGGTTTATCGATATTGTTTTACGTACAATTATTCAATTTACAGACAATAGTTTTCCCACTGGGAAAATAAAACGGTCCAGAGGTCAAAACAAATCTAAAAGACATCCCGGATTGTAGTGTGATTTTTGAGGTCTGAACAACAACAAGTTCACAAAAGCTCTGAGATAAGTCAGAGTGTAAAGATTTATCTTCCAGATTAAGAATGTAAATTTACAAATAGCAGATGATTTAAAACATTTTTCTCCTTTTTAAGTGTTAATGCACACTTTGAAAATATAGACCAAGTATAACTTTACACATTCCAACCTGTCTTAAAGCTCTTCTTTACACCCTAACATCATTATGCAAGTTCTCCATTCTGTTCTCTATACATTTCCTATGGTGCTCGAAAGGAGAATTTGCCGAACAATCAAGAGCTTCTTGTGTTTAGCAATATTCAGGAATGATTCTGTTAAAAGAAATTACCAGCAAATAGTTATTATTCTTAGGGGTTAAACCACTGACCCCCAAGAGTGACTAGCAGCTAATTTCTCCTTACAACATCACCCCTGAATCACACATTAAGGTCACGAGAATAAAGGATATGATCACTAATCAAAGAAGCTCTTGATTGTTAAACAAATTCTCCTTGTAAGAACCTTAGGAAATGTATAGAGAACAGTATGGAGAATATGCATACTGATGAAGGGTGCATAGGGTTAAAGGGAGGATTGGAACTGAAAACAAAATTAATCCTCAGTTTAGTATACATTTATTACTGATTCATAACTTAAGATTTCTATTCATTTATTTGAAAAACTCACACAGAAGAACAGAAGCTGTCAATGCAGTACATACTAGTGATGTAAATGTACTTGCCTTGGTCCACCACTGTGTATTTTCAGCAAATTTGTCAGGTACATGCTGTGTTGAAGGTTCCACAGAGTCACTGGTAGAAAGAGACCTATCTTTAATGGACTTAACAAGTCTGTCTAGCTCCTCAACAGTTCTTTCTTTGCAGTGAAGAACAGAACTGTTGAGTGTAACTATGCTTTGTTGTAATGTCTTCAAATCTTCCTTCATTTCATACCGATCAATTTTCAAGACCTCTAGAACTGAGTCAATTCTTGATACAACACTGTTTATCAGCTCTTCAATATTACCTTGGTTTTGACTCATGGGAGAGTGTGCACTCTTAAAATGCTCAGGATCCAAAGCTGGTTGAACATGGATTCCCAAGTCCTTTAAAGGATCCGAAATTAAATTTAGAGTAAGTAGGTTTAACAAGCCTGCCAACTCTTCAAATTTTTGCTCTAATAATTTACTTTGTGTAGATAAAGATTCCTTTAAATCATTTGTCTGGCTCCCTATTTGATCTTCCTGTCCTTTTACCAGATCAGCAAGCTCATCAGTCTTTCCTATCAATGTGTTCCCGGTTTCCTTGATGGAGTTCTTGATTTGCTTCAAGCGGATGTAGTTCACCAGAGTTGAGCCTAAGATTCCTGAAAATAAAGAAAAATGTCTGCAGGTAAAATTACAACAAATCAGGGTTATTTACCTCTTAGACTCCTAAGATCCAAAAGCTCAGTCTCCTAACTAACTTGCAAATATATACTCACTGGACCTATTAGAGTTGTACAGCCACAACAAAACTAAAATGCTCTACTATTGCAATAGTGCTGTATGACGAGTGCTTATAAAATTGCATGCAGTACACTTGAAAGTGATTCTTCATTTATTCAATCTTGTTGACTTCTGCCACACCCTTAAGACTGGCCCAGGTGCCCTGTTTTATGCCAGATCTTCTTTGTCCAAGCTTTCACTACCATGATCTGAATATCAGTTCTCACTACTGTCTGCAATAAATTTTTCATAATATTAGATTTGAGAATTTCTTGTTAAATCAAACTATATTTCCTGGTTTACATTTTCATAACATCTTACCATTTTTCTGCCTGAAAGTATATCAATCTTTTGAGGAAAAATTCCCTTTTGATAACTATTCACAGTGATAGGGCTTAGGGCCAGCATACTTACCAAGTGCGGCACCACCAATAGAGCCAATCACAGACCAGTGTTTAGTCCTTTCCACTCTTGCCCTTTCTTTCTCGTGGGAGTCCCTCACAGCTCCTGACAGGATTGCAAACTGGTCTCTTTCCACAGCTTCCAAATCTTCGTATTCACCTTTCAACTTTTTTTCCTCCAGCAGAACCTTGTGTTCTTCTGTCGCTAAAGCTAGATAACGTTCGTCGTCTCGAGGAATCCGGTCTAACTTACAGCGAATGTCCCTTAGCTTTTCTTGCGCTGAATTCAGGTTTGATTTCGCGGACTGCACTTTACCCCGGGTAGACATAAATTCATTTTCTGCCTTCTTCACACCTGTCTGAGCTTCTTGTACATCGGAGATCCCTAAAAGATCATCCAAGGCTTGAAAGAGCCCGCCAACTTTCTCGTAAGAATTTTTCACCGCACGTTCACTCTTGATGGAAACGGCATTAGAAATCTTCGAGAACCACTGATCAGGCAAGTTACGGTTGTTGAGAATATTTGTCCCGTGAACGAATCGAAATCGTATAATTTGCTTTGTCTTAGCATTGATTTGAAAGCAGGGTGTGGTACATCGACTGCTTGTATGAAACAATAGTCTAGAGGATAACATTCTAACCGTCACAGAATTTGGAATTTTTTCAAGATTCATATGTGCAATCGGTCCGCCATACTTCTTCACCCTTTTCGAGAAAAGATTGGGGCGAGGAAAAAAAAGGTTTAATCTGACAATGCTGAGGGAGAAAGGGTAGGGAATATTTTTCAAACAGTTTTCTTCGTAATAGATAAATATCTAGGATGTATAAAACTAAATTATTTAAAAGTCAATGGTTCAAAAATTAGTTTTCTGACTGACTGAGAATACCAACAATTTTTTTCTGAACCAATTTTAAAATTTAAAAAAAGCTCGCCCTACCCCATCCTCGCTAAGAAAATGATTTGGTAGCATGACCCCTAGTTACCAGTTACCCTCGGTATTCAGATGAAAACATGGCGACACCTAATGTGGGTCGCTTGCAATGTTTGTACTCTCATGTTTCCAATTATCGCCAATACCACGGACTTCAGCAAGGGACATTTGTTTATTTAAGATTCACTGGAATTATTTACAATCGAAATGATGGTTTTCAAAAGAACTTTTCGACATCACCGAGAAATGCAGCGAGATCGGCAGATTTGACGAGATATCAAAAATTCCGCAAAGTTATTAGCACATTTGTGGCTGGAAGTAAACATCTAGGAAAAGATGTAAAAGTGATGTTTCAGATACAGCGAAAATTAAAGAGTAATAATTACAACTGGGAGGTCTTGAAAACAGAGGAAATATTACATCTACATCAGGTGAGAATGGTAAATTTGAAAGAGCTTTTCTTTTGCGAGATAAGTCCTATGAAAAGTACTGGTACATGTCTTTGTTGAGGTTACAGTAAGCTTATGCATTTCACAGACAAGAAAAGATCTTCTGAAGAGTTTGCCTGTGGTTGTGGGATTCTTCATTCCATTCTTGGGTTATGCAGTTCCATTTGTAGCGTAAGTGTTTCAACAATTAAATCATTGTATAGATTGCAAATATGTACAAAATTGCTGTTTTTAAATTTAGTTATTGTTATTGGATTAGGAAAGATTATAGCCCCATACTATTTTAAAGCAAAGCTATTGTCCCAAATACAATCTGTCACTTTTGCAATTGTCTTCTTTAGTCAATAACTGTATGCATAATGAAGTATGGGGCTGTGTGGAAATCTTTTTTCACTTAACACTCCTAAGTCCATTCCATATCATAGTCATATTCACTTTTCTGTAAATGAGGTTGAAGCTTCTTCAATAAATGATTTGTGCTTAATTCTGGAAACTTAATCAGTCAAAGTCAACTCTCAAGTCCATTTTTAACCCTTTAACTCCCAGATCAAATTTGTAATTCTCCTTACTGTCAACCATACAATTCTTACAATGTTAGTTCAGAGAATTTAGTATTGGATCAACTAATAATCCTGAAGATATATTTTTTTTAATCTCATCACTTACCTGGTTGATATTATATTGATATTGTAAGGAGAAATTCTGTTTTGGTCACTCATGGGAGTGAAAGGGTTAATAGGATTATGATCAAAAAGGATAATATAAATTTAAGCTGTTCTTGTGAAGTGAGAAAGATGAAATACAAAACAGCAACAGAATTTGAAGCCATGACTAGTAGTAAGGTCCAGAGTAACTGACCCTCACCAACAGGGTAACTTCATATTATCAGCTAAGTCGATAACATAAATTGGCCATCATAAAGACTTTCAAAGCTGATGTTTCAAGCATTAGCTCCTTGTTAGAATGATGACAAAGGGCCATTGCTTGAAATGTCAGCTTTGAAACTCTACGGTGGCCAATTTACGTTATCAACTCAGTTGAAAATACTTAAGTACCCTGTTATACTCTTCCTCCAATACAGCACCACAGTTTCTTTAGAATCTTACCCCCTTTCTTCAATTGACTCTCAGCAATCTTTACCTAACTTTCAGATTCCTTTATCCAAAACAACTGTTATCTCATCATTATTGGCAACCTCACCAACGTGAAAAATTTGCTCAGCAAGATGTAAGAAGACGACGAAAATATCAACTTCCTCTTGTTAGAGAAGTTGGAAGATTGGCCTTAAGATACAAAGCAAGCAGATATTCTACAGACCTGATGTCTACCTCAGTTAAAGTATGGGAAAGGCTGAATTTACAAATAGAGTCTATGTTGTCCAGGGTCTGTTAAGTTATAGATCACAAATGATGTTAAAATGTGTTGCGAACAAAAATAGTGGCACACATAACACAGCCTATTAGGATATAACACAATGACCAAGCTCTGTCTTGGCCCAGACCTCTCACCTTTGGGTCCAGCACACTAACTGTTAGGCCAGTCTGCCTCTCTTGCTTTTGTTCTTAAAATATTTATTTTTTTATTAAGTATCTCAGAGTGCCAGGGTCTTAAATTCTTGAATCTGATGGGCTCATGTTTGTTCATAACCAGTACAGCTTTTTACAATACAAACCATAGTCCAGAATTTTATCTGCACCATTTCCAAAAAGTGGAAAAAAGCAAACCAGCAGAATAAAATAGATATGTAGTTATTACTAGTCAAGGTTGGTCCATTTGGAAAAAACTATTAGAGGGCCATACTCAAGACCTTGGGACCAGCAAATAATTTTATCACTTGAGGATGAGTGACTCACTGCACTTGTTTATATTAGGCTGTAAACAAAAAGCATTTGTCCAATGAGGAGCTGTTGCAAATGGCTGAATTCTTTGAGGGGAATCTCCTTGGCTTTGATCACTTACCGCGTTACCATCTGGTGAGCAAATGAATTTCTTGTTCATTCTTTCCCTCATGCATGGTAAAAGTTTTAATTAGCAAATCTTTTGGATCAAGGGAAAATTTAAGAGAACAGCTGTCTACAAGGTAGCAATAGCTATGATTGTAATAATCATTTTTAAGGGAGGTAGAAAGTTGTTGGGGCTGGATGATAGCCACAGAAGAAAACATTTCATCCTCATCTTTATTGTTTGATTGAAAATCAGATTTCTGATCTCTCCTTCAGATGCAAATCACAGGTTTCATTTCTGGTGTAAAATTATTTTATCTGTTAATCTGTGTGTTTTTCCATTCCACAGAAAAAACTTAGCCAAGTGTGGTTAATCACTCCTTGGCTACCCAAGTCATTTTTGCGTATTCGCTTGAAACGTTTGGTAAAATCAATTAAGAGGGAAGATGCTGCTATAAAGAAAGAGGGACTTGTGAATCTCCAAGAAGATCAACTGAAAGTGGTGAGAGAGATTTCTGATTTAAGGATCATTCCTAGTTCCTCACCCTCTCTTAGGCCCAGTTTAGATTTTATTTTATTTTTTTGTTGGTTGTTGGCAGGTGGGGAAAAACGACAAAATAGAAACATAATTATTTAACATTAATGTTGGCCTGGGGGCAAACATAACTGGTGGTCTAACTCCTCATTTTCTTACTCATTTCCAGGTGTGTCACTCCAGAGGTCTAGACACAACTGATGTTGACCCAGAGGCACTGGTACAGTGGTTAGCAGAGTGGGTGGAGTTGTCTGATGCTGCAGGAGGTAATATTTGAATTACAGACTGAAAAATTGATTTCATGAACTGGATGTTTTAGGCATTCACATGTGAACATTAAAAGGCTGAGACATGACAGAACTCTGTTAAAATTTCCATTTAGTGTGCTGCTCCCTAATCAAGTCACTGCAGCATGATTAATAGCTTAAACTCTACCCACTTTCAATTGAATATATGAGAATTAATGTGGGGGAAAATTGTGTCAACCCTGGATGACTTCTGCAAACTGAGGCAGAAACATTGAAAGTGAAAAACTAGCCTCTTAAAAGTATTACTTGTTACTCAAAAGAAAAAAATCCAATGAATTGACTGATTTATTTTTAACAACCAGGATTCACAAACTACAATTTGGCTTTGTTTGATGTTTTCTTTGTTTCTATTTTTTCATTAATTGTAATTATAGTAATGTAACTGTTTTGTGTACCCATTCTCTCTGTCTCTTTACAGACACAGATGAATCTTTCTTGGCTCATTGTGCTGTTTTTAAGGCCATGAATTATTCAAAAGACGGAAAAGCTGGAGATCAAGATTTGGTTGTACAAAAAGGGTGATATTGAAGATGTTTAGTCTTTCTGGAAAATATTGAATATTTATTAAAAAAAACCCTATGACTTGTTAACAGTACAATTTTATTTTCTTTAGTAAAGGGTGAGCACACATTCATGTAACATAATACAATTTATAATTAGCCTTCACTGAATTATTATAGTAAGCAATACTTAAACATTTGTGTTCTTTCTGGATGTTATTAATTTTTGTAAGTTTTCTAACTTCCTGACAATTTTTCCTCAACGAAAATGAAGGGTAGAATATGGTCATGTAAATTGTTCAAAGAATCTGGTTTCCTTACAATAAAACTTTTGTTACAGTATCAGTGTGAATTGTTTATTTTTACCCTGATTTTGCCCTATACAAGACATAAGTCTTTCAAAACCCAGCTCTTCAGGGGAGCCCAGGCAGTGCTGTTACATTTACAGGAATATTCTCCAGAGGGGATTGCAAGAAAACGTGAAATTTCTTTAGCCAAGGGATTTTAAAACCTATCGTCCCATTAAATGTATTTGTAAGTTCCTACGGACCTAGCTACCTTTTCGACTCGCCCGTTCTTAGGGAAAAGGTGTACAGAAGGCCTATTCCCTTGAAAAGTTCAATATTTATTCCAACGTTTGAAAAAAGTCAAGCTGGCGGAAAATAAATTGTAGGTCCGGGCCTACAGACCTCTTAGCTGACTACGCCCTTGATGTAAATTGGCGCCTTCCATTCAATAAACACTTTCAGCATTTTAGTCAAAAGTCTTTCTTCAATGGTCCGTAGAGGGTCGGTAGCACATGACTTATCGTGGGTTCCCACCTGAACAAAGGCTCAGTAACTGTTGTTCTTGGGAAAGGAGCGAGGGCAACAGTGCAAGCTCCTTTCCTGTGCAGGAGTTGGTCATTGGGCCCTCTATGGCTTTGTTTGACAGAGCCCAATAAGGCCATAAAAGGGAATTTTTAACACGTGATTCCCTAGAACATCAAGTTGGTCAGACGTTAGTTTCATGTTTGGCCCCGAATTGACTTCACCCAAAAATCAGGAGGAGAAAAGTTGAAGGTAAAAATAACACCTAGAATGAAAGATGGTAATTTTTCGCTAAAATTCCTATCTTTTTCGGTAACACAACCATGTCACCTTAGATCATTCGAAAGTTGCTGGTTTGACGTTCATAGCGAAGCGTCTGACGAAGGACTAATTTTTTATAATACTTTATTACCCTGTTATACTCTCGTACCGATGCAGCGCCACGGTTTCTTAAGAAATTAACTTCGCTGGTTTGACGTTTACTTCTCGTTCCAAAAAGTCGTAACTCGCGAATTCGTGGTGCGTAATCATGATGTCAGCTGAGCGAAGAATCGCGGATGCCGAAACGCTCTGAAAATTTTCAGCACACAGGCCGAACTAACTTGCTTGTTTTAGTTCTCTTTTTAACTTTTTATCCAATTTTGTTGGTTGTAAAGCTCCAACAAAGTTCCATCTGACAGGTTTTAGCAAATTTGATTCTTTATCATGTTGAGACAGAGCGAAGCGTCTGATCATCTGAGAAAGCTTTAGAAAGCAAAATTTCAGTTGTATTTAGTATTATCAACTCAGTTGATAAAACTTAATTACCCTGCTATACTTTCCCATCGACGCAGCACCACAGTTTCTATAAAAACTAACCCTTATTCAAAAGTTCAGTTG